CCCGGTGCTGCCTCGGGAGCCACAGGTGAAGCCTGAAGGCTGGGAAGGAGGAGCAGGCAGGGCTATCCCTGCAGCAGATGGGGCTGGGACCCTGTGAAGAAGTTTGGACTTGTTTTGAGGACCCTGTAGGCCCTGGGTCAGAGGCAGTAATGGGCAGGCAGCACTGGGGTTGCCACTGTGTCTGACACGGTGGAGAGACGGCAAAGCACAACTTGACAGTGGAGGGACTGTGGTGGCCCAAGGTCTCTGGCGCAAGAGCAGTGTCCTAGAAGCCTGTAGACTCACACACTGCTTCCTCTCCATAGGCACCAGAGCAGAAGAACCCAAAAGCCTGGCCCTAGGCCAGTGAGATGCTGGGAGTGCGTGCAGATGCAGGGTCTGCCCGGTTACAGAGCCTGCGTCCTCTGCCCTGGAGGTCAGCCTCGCTGCCGCCCCTCTGCCCGTTTCCTCTTGGCTGCTGGGCTGGTTGTTCCAGTGTAGTAATCAGAATGCTGATTAGTATTAGAAACTGAAAAATATGGAAAGTCAAAGAAAGTTAAAACATTTCTCCCCTGTGAATTTTCTGTTACTTGTTCAAAACAATCCCTTAAACTTATTTTCAGTGGTTATAGAATGACCTGCCTCATGGGTATAGCTATTTGGGTGCTTACTTATTTTTGAGGCAGGGTCAGCCCAGGCTGACCTCGAACTCCAGAATGATCTTCCTGCCTCAGCCTTCTGAGTATGCACTATCACTCCAGGATGCATCTTAGTTTTGAGTACATGAGGGATTCAGGCAGTTCTGAATTGAGAGCGTCTCCGGCAATCAGAACACCTCCTCCACTCCAGCTGCCGGGCCTTGGGGCAGGCTGTGCGCAGGGAGGGAAACTCCTGTATCAGCACACCCTGCTCCCCGCCCTCACCCTGCCCTTCTCAGCCCTGCAGTGAGTCTTGGTGTTCATTTCAAGGAGGGTCGTAGAGTGTCTCTGTTGTCCGTTGGCATGTGACATTTTGCTCGATGTGTCCCCTGCCCTGGGAAGGGGTCTGGGGGCTGTGTCCTTGCACAGCATCTGTGGGATGGGGAGGCCCTGCTGTCTCGTGTACCTTGGCCTGCAGTCCCTTGAGAGCTTCCTGTCATCTGACCCCAGCGTTGCCTGGCATAGGCAGGGCCATGGGATTGGATGCTGCTCTGCCCTCTTGTCCAGGTCTGCTCTGCACCCCCTCGGCCGAGGGCTGCAGAGATGAGTGAGATAAGCCAGGACCCTGGCCGGCCCAGTTTCCAGGCTCACTAGAAGGGACGCCAAGCTGGGGAGAGAGGATGCAGGGGGCTCTGGGGGAGCCTTGGCAGCTGCCGTGCAGGGTGCAGAAGTGGGGGTGGCCCACTCGAGAGGTGGGGCCTTGGGAGGCCAAGCATGGACCGTGGGTCTGCCCTGTTCCCACCCGGCAGGTAGATCCCAGGGCTGGGGAAGGGGCTGCTGGGCAGGGAGAGAGGCCTCTGTCCTGTTCCCTACTTCACCCCACGCAGCCTCTGGACTCATGGATGGCCTTGATTTCCACATGTGCCAAGGAAGGCAGATCCCACCTGTGTCTCCAAGGGCCAGGGTCCAGGGCTGCAGCACCTCCTCCCTCCACAGCCTCCTCACTCTGAGGTGGGCAGCAGAGCCAGTACTGGGCTCCTGTGGCCCCAGGAGGCATCTTCAGCTGTTGGTGGCCACTTCAGCATTTCCTGGCTTGCCGGTGTAGCTGCCTTACTGGTCTGGCTGGCACTGTGTTCACATCCTGCCCATGGCAGCCTGAGCCTTGTCTTTCTTATCTCAGTTCTGGTCTTTTGGGTTTAATCATCCCATTTCCTTCCTCTTGTGTATTATATACTCTTTTCCTTTTCTTTTAGTAGTTTCCATAGAGATAATAGCATACTTTTTTTTTTTTTTTTTTTTTTTTTTTTTGGTACTGGGGATTGAACTCAGGTCCTTGCGCTTGCCAGGCAGGCAGCAGAACCGGAATCACTGAGCTAAATCCCCGGCCCCCATTAGCATTCATCTTTAACTTATCAAAGTCTAATAAAAAGTAGTGGCACTTTCATCATTTCCCATACAGCTCTAGGTCTCAGAACATCCTGACGTCACTTACCTTTTTTTTTTGACATAGGTCTCTTTATATGGGTCAGGCTGGCCTTGAACTCACAGCAATCCTCCTGTTCAACCTCCTGAGTGCTGAGATTCAGGTGTGCATCACCACACACCACGTGTGTGGATTTTCTTTCTTCCTTTGGTTGTTTTTGGTTTTTTTGAGATGGTCTTACTATGTAGTCCAGGCTGGCCTTGAACTTGGGGCAGTCCTCCTGCCTCAGCTTCCTAAGTGCTAAGATTACAGGTGGGACCCACCACATCTGGCTCTGTTTTGAATATCCTGTCCTGAAGGCATGTAAACTAGATTAGAATTCTTGCAAGGGTTTTACTTTCTTTGCACATCTCTGAGATGGCATTCCACTGTCTCATGGTTTCCATGTGTTCAGTTAAGAAGTTGGCCGTCAGTCTTATTTTTTTTCTTTGAAGGTTTCTCTTTGGGTTTTTGTTTCCTTTTTTCTTTTTTGGTGGTTTGGCAGTCACTTGCCTAGGTATGCTTTTCCTTGGAATTCAGTTTTCTTTAATTTATGGTGATGGTTGATGATTATTTCCTTCATTAATTCTGTGTGATTCTTTGATTCTATAAAATTTTCAGTCACTGTCTTTTTTTGTGTGTGTTTGTTTTTTTGTTTTTTGAGCCAGGGTCTCACTATGTAGTTGGGACTGACCTGGAACTCACTATGTAGCCCAGGCTGGTCTCAAACTCACAGCGATCCTCCTGCCTCAGCCTCCTGAGGGCTGGGATTATGGGCGTGTACCACCATGCCCGGCCTAAGTAGGGTTTTTTAGAGGGTGTGGGTTGAGACAGGGTTTTGCTGTGTACTCCAGGCTGGCCTCAAATTTATGACAATCCTCCTGCATCAGCCTCCTGAGTGCTGGGATTGCAGGTGTGTGCCGCCATGCCTGGCTCCATTTAATTAATTTACAGTTTACAGTTCTGCTAAAATTATCTTGTGGTCTACGTTCATGAACTTTTATTAATTGTGATTGTTTTAAATTTCATTTCTGATAATTGTATATATATTTCTTATGAGTATATTTCTATTTATTTTTTCTCATGGTTTTTATTGAATCCTGTGTGTTGTGTATGAAAATTTCTGGAGCTGTTTCAAGGTTCTGGGTCATTCACTGTCCTCTAGAAAGAAGCTTATAGCTAGCTGGGCCTGCCTACTGAGTCGTCTCTCTCTGGTGTCATGAGATTGCAGGAAGCCCAGGTTTGGAGCTGCCCGTCGGTAAACAGACAGATGGTTCCAGGGGAGAGAGACCTGGTGTCAGGCATTATTGTCGCGCTTCCCTTATCTCTGCTCGGGCTGATTCTTGTTGTCATGGTACTTCTCCAGATAGATGTTTAAAATACACTAACATGGCGCTTGCTGAGTTGTTTGTAGAGGGAGGGGTTGAATCTAGGGCCTGTTTGGGAAAGGCCGGTGCCCAGCAGAGCCCAGTGCTCCTTCCCCCATGCCTCCTGCCCTTTAGCAGGGTTGGAGGCGTCTGCTCTCAGGCGAGAGCTTGAACCCAGCTCATACCCGCCGGGAGCACCCAGCAGAGCCTCTGCTTACAGATGGGAAAACCACGGCCTAGAAGGGCCTGTCCCCCTGCACGTGGGAGCTCAAGCAGGGCTCAGCCTGAGGCGAACCGGGATTGGGCTGTGGGCTGCTGTCTCTCCTCTCGCCTGGCCTCCTGCCCTCCCGCTGTGTCCTTCATGTTTCCGGCATGGGTGGGTGGAGGCCAGGGTTACTCACAGAACCTTGAGCCAGGTCTTTCTCACGAATCCCTGGGTCATCACTGGTCGCCAGCTGTGTGGCCGAAGTCCCCTGCCTCCCTCTGGAGAGGCTCATCCTCCCCTTTTGCCTGGACAGAAGGCTCATGGAGGACAGACAGCGGGTGGCCTCTTTGGGGAAACTTTCTGGGCTGGGAGCCTAAGAAAGTCTGAGGAGCCCACGGTGAAGGACCTAGAAGAGGGGGTGAGGAGGTGGGGACCCCCTTCTTCAGCCCCCACGGACTCTGAGCTCGCCACCCTGTGGACCAGGGCCTCTCCTTCCCGGGGCAGTGCTGTGAGCCTGTGTGCATGTGTGTGCACTCGCATGTGCGGCTGGGATCTGCAGAGACCCCCCGTGGGGTGAGGGGAGCCAGAGCAGCAGCAGGCCATGGATGCCGCATGGCTCTCCCCCTTCGGGAGTGGGGCCTCCGCCGGGGCACTGGCCGTGATTGCACCTGACATGGTCTCACCTGTCCCACAGCCTCTGGCCACTCCCCACAGTCCTGTGGTGGGGTCGTCCTCGTGTGTCCTGTGCCCCTTGGCCCCGTGTGCCACATCCTCTTGGGGTGCGTCCATGTCGCACCAGCTGTAGCAGCCCCGCCACTTCAGAGCCCCTCACACGCGTCTGTCCTGGCCTCACTCCGCTCCACACACTGCCTGCGCCTTTGACCCTCACACCCAGACCTTTCCACTAGCAGGTGAGGGACGGTGTGATGGGCTGTGTGACCACCAGCTTCTGGTGCAGGAGTAGCCCAGCCAGGAGCACCGGGCCTGGCCGGGAGCCGCCCCAGCTGTGGTGTCACATGGACAGTCCCTGCGAGAGACCTCGGTTCCTGCGACCGTTGAGTGAAATGGTGTAGGAGAGACGGGATGGTGCTGTGTCCAGGGGCCCCGGCATGGCTCAGGGAGCAGCCGTTCTCCCGCAGCACAGGCGGAGCCTTGGGGAGCAGTGGGCCTGGCCCTGAGGGCGGGTGAGGATGGAGAGATCCCCACAGTGCTTCTGCTCTTTGCTGTCCCTCGAAACTGGCCGTCTCCAGAGAGGCCAGAGGGGAGCCAGGAAGTGGCCTTCTGGGTGAGCCTGGGTGAGCGAGGCTGTCCTGCAGGTGACTCACCTCTGCTGTGCTCTGCCACCACAGGGAGCTCAGGCTGCGGAACTATGTCCCAGAGGATGAGGACCTGAAGAGGAGGAGGGTACCCCAGGCCAAACCCGTTGCAGGTAGGTGGCGGCCTCTGAGCCCCAGGACCTGCCAGCTGGCAGCATCTCGGGTGGGCGCACAGAGGCAGGGGCTTTGGGGTGAGGAGCAGAGATGTCCCGGCCTCTGGGGCAGCAGGGCAGGGCAGAGTGGTGAGAGCGGAGCGTGCAGGCAGACAGCACAGGGGCCCGGTATGCGCAGTGCAGCAGGCAGGGCCTGGGCCCAGCACAGGCATCTGCCAGAGCCTCCTGCTCCCTGGCCCTGGACTTTGGGTTTTTTGGTTTTTCTAAATAAATTTTATTTTATATTGTCCCACTTCATCAAGCCTGGACTTTATTTTTATTCTTTATTTTGTTATCAACTTTTGGTGCTTCTGGGAATCAAACCCAGGGTCTCACACATGCTAGGCAAATGCTTTACCACTTAGCTATATCTCTAGGCCAGTTTTGTTACAAACTTTTTTTTTCATTTTTGAGACAGGGCCTCAGTTCAGGCTGGCTTTGAATTCACTGTGTATCCCAGGCTAGCCTCGATGGCACTCCTCCTGCCTCCGTCTCCTGAGTGCTGAGATCACAGGTGTGTACCACTATGCCCAGTTTTGTTATCCACCTTTAATGTTACAAGTAGCAAATGAGGTCTGGAGATGTAGCTCAGTGGTGCTATGCCTGCCTGGCCAGCATAAGGTCCTGAGTTCAATCCCTGCTACTGAAAAAAACCAAAAAACAAGGAATGAATAAATAAATTTAGGAGTCATGAGGCAGCCCCATGGGAGGGTGCTTACCAGGTAGGAGCGAGGCCCTGGGCTCCATCCCCAGGGCTGCACGACAAATATGCAAACTCACACCTCATACTGTACTTTCAAACTCATTGAATTTGTTATTTGATGCATTTTGACACAGAAAGTTTGTCTGGTACTGGTCCTTTGGTACTAGATGCGCAAGCCAGACCTGGTGTCGATCGCCTCATGACCAGCCACCCTTTCAGCCAAAACAATTTGCTATCTGTGGTTTTTGGTCCTCGCTGAGCCTCCGAGAACCACTTACAGGAGGGCGCCCGGGTGCCGTCCTTCACGCGGTCTTGGTCTTCTCGTTAGTCACGTGTGGCCCCGTCACTCTCCCCGGCTTCCTGCTTCCTCCCTCCCCGAGATCCCTGCACTGCCTGTGATCTGGGCCCACCTGGTAGGGCAGCAGCGGATCAGGGCAAGGCAGTGAGAGAGAATAGAGGGCTGGGGAGCCCGGCCAGCCTCGGGGAGTGGGAAAGGGTGCCCCGGGCCCCTGGGTGACGGGGCTGGAGGAGCCCAGAGTTGTGGGTGCTTCTGCCTCTGACTGCACGGGGACCCACACCCCTCGGCATACGTGAGGTGGGATGGGAGAAGGCCAGGGTGCAGTGGAGACCTGCTTCCTGTGTACCAGGCAGCCCACCACTGTGGGAGACTGAGGCCACAGGTAGTGGTCTGGGTCCTGTGAACTCCAGCTTGCAGCCCCCTGCTACCCCTGCTGTTTGGTGGGGAGCCCAGGCCACTCCTCCAGAACTACCTGGTTGGGAGCCCAGGAGGAAGAGGGTAGCACAAGAAATCCGGGCCTGGACCCCCCTGTGGGAAGGCAGCCTGTCCTGCAGTGCAGCTCCTTTCTGACTGGCCTGCATTGTGGTCTTGCACCCTCTAGTGGAAGAAAAGGTGAAGGAGCAGTTGGAGGCCGCCAAGCCTGAGCCTGTCATTGAGGAAGTGGTAAGGTCCTTCCATCCCCTCCTCCCGCTGACCTTTCTCCCTTGCCTTCCCTCTGTCCCTGGGGCCCCTCCATCCTGATGCGCATCTCCTCCCCCCAGGACCTGGCCAACCTGGCACCCCGGAAGCCCGATTGGTGAGTGTTGCTGCAGCCAGGTGCAGACTGCGGGGGCCTTGGTGACAGTGGGAGCCCTCCATCCCAGGGGGACCAGATGAGGGAGGGGCAGCTGCTGCTTGTCCCTGCTTTCCTCTGCTCCCAGTTTTCTGTAGAGCAGGGTGCCTAACTTTAGGCCACTCCCACTGGGCTGAGGGTGAGGGGAGGAAGGTGCTGGGGCTTGGGGTGCACTGTACCTGGGCTTTATCGCTCTCCCCTGCAGTTCTGAGATGAATAACAGCAGCTGTGGCATTAACTGAGGAAGAAAGCTCCGGGCCCAGAGCCTGCGAGACAAGCTGTTTTGTGTGGGGTGGCCAGGCCAAGTCACTTCTGTCCGTGTCCAAGGGACCAGGCCAGGGGGATCCCCTAGCACTTCTTGGCACCGTCCCCTACCCTGGCAGGGTGCTGTCCTCGCTGCCTCAGTGAGGCTGGGTTGCAGAGAAGGGAGCAGCAGTCTCCTCTCAGTGTGGCCACCAGGGGGCATAGTTGCCCCCCCAAGCCTTCACCCTCCCTCCACCTGCCAGGGACCTCAAGAGGGACGTGGCCAAGAAGCTGGAGAAGCTGGAGAAGCGGACACAGCGGGCCATTGCCGAGCTCATCCGTAAGTGCAGCTGCAGGCCGGGGTCTGGCACTCGTGGTGGGGTCCAGGCGCAGGGCCCTCCACCGTCTGCCTGCCCCTCCCAGGTGAAAGGCTGAAGGGCCAGGAGGACAGCCTGGCCTCTGCTGTGGACGCCACCACCGAGCAGGAGGCCTGTGACTCTGACTGAGTGGCCGCCACCCCTCCGTTGCTGGGCCACCCGGCAGTGGGCCCAGCATCACCCCAGGTCCTCCCGGACAGCTGCAGCAGCCGTTGGGGCTGAGCCCCGCAGGGTGAGGACAGTCCCCCTCCCCAGGGTCCCTGCCACCCTGGGTGAGCATGCCCACGTCTGTGCATAATGCCAGTCTCAAAATGGAGACAAGTAAACCTGTGTACAGCAGAAACCTGTGAGGTGTGTGCTGGGTGCTTCAAAACAGGGAGGCCGTGGTGGTGGCAGCGTTGGAGGTGAAGGACTCGGGGACAGCTGGCTGGAGGGGTGGGAGAGCCTGGGGCTGACTTGGGTCTAATTGCAGCCCAGCGGTGGACATCTCAATGCGCTGGGTGACAGAGACGGGGTCTGGAGTTTCTTAGGACCGCCGCAGGCCTCGGCCTTGCCTAGTGCCCCATCCCAGTCCTCATGGGCCCCACACAGATAAGAAAGGAGGAGGAGACAGGGCCCTGTACGTCTCCTGGAGCCACTCAAACTTGAGCCCCACCCTGCCTGGCCCCCAGCAGCCCCTGTCTGCCCGTTGGACAGAGCCCCAGTCCACCTGCTAGAGGTGGACACGTGGGGCTTTCGGGGATTGTCGGCCTGGCTGCAGTCCTGGCTTGAGGATCCAGAATGCCTCTGGGGCTAATGAGCATGGCCCCTGGCTGCGCTGCCCATTGTCCCCAGAACTCTGTCTCCTCCAGGGTGCTGCAGCCAAGAGTCTCCCTTAGCGCTCTCCCTGTTCTGTCTGGAAACTCACTGGTGCAGCTCTGGTGGCAGTGCTGGGCCCAGGGCCAGGGCGGAGAGGACATGTGCATGTAGACGATCACGCCCTGTGACTTAAAATCCCACAGGTGCTCTCAGAAGCAGGAGCTGCACCTGCGATGAGGCCCAGGCAGCATCCCCTGCCTGAGCTGTGGGATGAGCCAGGACCACAAGGCACAGGGACCGCACTTGCCTACAGGTGTCAGCGCCAGAGCCACCACTCTCCGAGGATGAAGGCTGGAAGGGCTCTGCACGTCCTGGTGGCGCAGCATGGGAGGCTGTGGCCGTCGGAGAACTCAAGGCCCAGGGCCATGTGCGCCAGAGAAGTGCGCTTCTGCCCGGGTGGACCTGAGACCCGGCAGCAAGGAACGGAAATCAGAAATGTGAGAAAAGCCTTAAACAGTAGCCAGCAGCCCAGCATAGGGAGCATTTATAGCCAAAGAGATGGAAATGATAACATCCTAAAGTGAGCCTTAAATGGTTTGCTATCAGAGAGAGAAAGGAGAGCCTGGCCCCCATAATTCAACAACAGGAATCAGACATAAGAAAGAATTGATTAGAAGTCTTGGAAATGAAGAATGCAGTTATTAAACTCAGTGAATGTAATTATTGTGACCACTGTGGAAATCAGTATGGAGATTCTGAAAATAGAAATTGCATTATATCCAGCCTTTCTCCTTCTGGGTATCTCCTCGCAAGAATTAAAGACATCGTTTTACAGTGATCCTTGCACACCCATGTATGTAGCAGCACGATTCATAATACCTAAGATTTGGAAGGGGCCTACATATTCATCAGCAGATGAATGGATGGAGAAAAATGTATTTACACACAGTGGAGTATTACTCTGCCATAAAGAATAAATTGGAGTCATTTGTAGGAAAATAGATAATATGTGAAATAAATTAGACACAAACTTAACTGCATAGTTTCTCTTCCATGAGAAACCCAAAATATAAAGAGCAAATAAAATATAGACAATAGGAAGTAGGGATTTTGATCTTTTAAAGTGAGAAGGGGATCAAGAGATGCAGGACAGAGGAAAGAGAGGGGAGAAGTGGATGTGAAAAGTAAAATGTGTTAATATATTCAGTTCGTTCCTGAGGGCTGGTTGTAAGTCAGGTTGGTCAGGCTCCTCTGCACAGCCTTCATTGTCTCTCTTCTGTGTACGGGCAGAGCTCAGTGTACTTGTAGAGACCCAGGCCCAGGATTTCTCAGTGAACCCCACACAGGAAAGGATGCTGTCATGTTCCTTCCAGAACCCTGTAAGGGTTAAATCTCTATCTGAGACCACTTGGGAGCACAAGCGGCCAGCGTGCGGGTTGTAGCTCAAGACTTTGGTCATAAGTTAAAAACTACCATTCTGGTCATAACCCAAGTTGTCTGTATGTCAGGCCAGTTGAACCTGAGAGTCCACTGTAAACATTAATTAAAAATTAATTCACTTGGAGAGTTAAGAACTACAGTCACAGAATGGATCGATGCATTGGTTGGAAAAGCTGGGGAGGTCCAAAGGTGGCAGCGAGTGATATGGAGGGTGATGAGGGGGCAGACCGAGCCTGTGACACTGACAGGTATCCTGCAGCTGCCAGGGCTCACCCTCCCTTTTTAGAAAATTAAAAACATTTGAATAAATGATGGGACCAGGGACGTAGCTCAGTGTTTCCGCTGCCTGCCTCCCAAGCACAAGGACCCAAGTTCAATCCTGGTACCAAAAAAAAAAAAAAAAAAAATTGAATAAATGACAACAAATACTTTTTAAATGCAGCAACCCAGGGGCTGGGGATAAAACTCAATGATAGAGCAGGCATGAAGCCCTGGTTTTCAACCCCCAGCATGCAAAAACAAAGCCAAAAACCAAAGACCACCGACCAAATCTCTACCAATTCGCTGGTAACTTAAAGCCAGGCTGATACAAATACTCTCACAAATGCACATGGATGTCACCAGCCCTGGAAGTTCCAAAGATATGGAAAGAGAAAAGTATGGAGAAAGAGAAATTTTGTAAGTTTAATGATTTCAGTCCGTTTCATACCATAATCCGTCAGTCGTCTCCATAATACCAATAAACAGCAAGACTGGCAAGAAAGTCGAGAGTCCTTGGGTAAAAGTAACAAGTAGCAGGACGTCCAAGTCCGGCTTTGCCTTGGTATTTGACAAACCAGGTGAAGCAGAATTGGCTTTGGGGGTTGTCAGTGTCTACGGGGCAGGACAGCTCAAACCTGTGCAAAATGGGGTGCTCTGAGGACTTGCGAGTCGGGAGCCTTGGTGCTCCTTGTGGGGAAAGAAGCCTGCCTTGCTGTGGGAGAAGCACGGAGAAGCCTGGGTCAAGGATTCAGTGCTCTCAGGCACCTGATGGAGGTGCAGGTCCCAACCGGAGGGCTTTTAATTCATCTCAGTCCCAAAGGAAATCACAGTGGTATTGCGGAAAAATGAGCGGCTGCAGAGGTGCAGAGCAGCCGGAGCTGGTGGGGTGCAGCTTAGTGGTAGAGCGCTGGCCTAGTGTGTAACATCCTGAGTTCCATCCCAGCACCAAAAAAACAAACCCCACCAAGTTGAGAACATAAAAAATAACACGGTAAGCTGGGCGTGATGGCACACGCCAGTAACCTTAGCACTAGGGAGGCTAAGGCAGGAGGATTGTGTTTGAGGCCGGCCTACAGTGGATACTGAGTTCAAGGCCAGGCTGGACGACAGCATGAGACCCTGCCTCGAAAAAACAATAAGCAAAACAGACTCAGACTTACAAAAACTTCACACATTAGAATTGTCAGTTACAGAATTTTTAAATGTTTTAAAAGCTTTTTGCTTGGTGACACTGAGGATTGAATGAACCCAGGATGTGCACTAAGCTGCAGCCTTAGCCCTTTGTTTTTAACTTTTCTATTTTGAGACAGAGTCTTGCTGAGTCACTAAGTTGCCCAGGCTGGGCTCCATCTTGTGATCCTCCTGCCTCAGCCTCTTAGAGTGCTAGGATTATAGGCGTGCCTGGCTGTTGTGCACATTTGTATGTTTATTCTAACTCAAGAAGCAAATTTATTTAAATTTTTTCATAACTTATATCGGTCATCAGTTGTTGCATACAAATTACCACAAAGCTCAGTGGCTTAAAATAAATGTTTCTTATCACAGTTTCTGTGGGTCAGGAATCAGAAAGTGGCCTCCCTGGGCCATCCAGTGTCACAGGCAGCTGAGTCAGGGAGAGACATCGCAGGCTGGCAGCAGCTGGGCCTCGCGAGTCAGTGTCCAGGGTGAGAGCATCACAGCTGCGTCGAGGCGCGTGTTGGGGCCGGGCCTGTGTGGCTCCTTTATTCGGAGAAGTGGTGTCACCTGGTCCGAGGAGTCTCCGTAGACGCCGGTCACGCCGGGGGTGACCAGGACGTCCCGATCCAGCCCTTCCTAAAAGGGCCTTTGCTCCTTCCGCGTTCACTCGCTGCGTGACTTGCTTCCCTGCTGCATCAACGTTACCTAAACGGCGTGCTGGGAACCCTGCTGATTGATCCTAGTTTGGGCCCATGTTGCACCCACCACGTGATTTTACTGTATAAAACTTCCCTTGGGAAGTGGGCTCGTGGCAACCCACTTTCTGGTCCCCTCCTGTCACTCGGGACCTCTCTCAATAAAGTCTTCTTTATTGTTAACCTCTGTTCCTTAGAAGTCTTTGATTTTGGAAAACACGAACTCGGCATACCCGACGTCTAGCAGGTTGGGAGTTACATTTCTTCCCCGTCTGTCACTTTCCCACCTCTGTGAGGTGGCAGAGCCCTGACGGCTCGCCTGGCTGGAGGCCTGGCTGGAGGCTTTAAGCCGGGAGGCCTCCGCCACCCTCCAGGGGGCTGGTGTGAGGTTGGCCGAGGCAGCTGCCTCCCACTTGTGATCCTGGAGGGGGCTTGGGCCTTGCTGAGCCTGGCTTGGGAAGTGATGTTCCGACACATCCTACTTGTTAGAAGCAAGTCTGTACCGGTGTGATGAAGAAATACCGTGAATGTCTGCCCGCCTTTTAATTTAGCACAGTGAAAGACACGAATCTTCCTCACAGCACCCCACTCCTCCCGCCCCTCTCATGACTCTCTCTGCAGCAGCTCTGGAGTCCTCTTTCTTGCAAGTCTAGTTGCGCTGTCCTGGCTGCCTCAATGTCCTGAATTGATTCAAAGTGTTTTCCCTTCATGGTTATTTTGACTTTGGGAAGAGCCAGAGTCACAGAGCCAGATCCGGGGAATAAGGTGGGTGAGGACACACTGTAATGTTCCTTGACAGAAAACCATAAAAAGTTGATAAGTGAGGTGTTATAAAAAATACAGTGAATGTTTAAAAGTTTTATTACAGTAAAGGAAACCTTGCCGTTAATCTCCCTCAAAATAGCTCCTCTTGCTTTGAACACATTTATCCTATTATTCTTGATAGTCTGTCTTTTACTGTAATAAATTTTTATGATTACTTTTTTTTTTTTTGATTTTTGAGCCAGGGTCTCACTATGTAGTTGAGACTGACCTGGAACTCACTGTGTAGCCTAGGCTGGTCTCGAACTCACAGCGATCCTCCTGCCTCAGCCCCCTGAGTGCTGGGATTACAGGCGTATGCCGCCACACCCAGTTTATGGTTGCTTTTTATATTCTTAATCTAAAATATATTCTATAAATCAGTAAAAAAGAAAAGAGCATAAGAACTGTCAAATTTGCACAAAATGCATGCATCTAATTAGAAATAAAAGTGGTCCTGAACGATACATGAAAACACACTGAACATGTAACTTTGATCTCGAACAGAGGTCTGCTGCCAGCTCTGGTGGAAAGAGGCCTCTCCCACACTGGCTCTTGGGGACAGCTGACCCGGAGCCTCCCCTTCCCAGCAGACAGACCCATTCACATAGCCATGAGAACGGAGCCCAGGGCAGTCATTGGCGCCCTGGAGATGAAAAAAATGCATCTTAAAAAAAAAGTGTTTCTAAAACACTACTAAAAACACTGCTGACACAGCACAGTGTCGGCCAGCAGAACTCCTGGTGTCCACAGAACTGGAACGAAAAGAAAACAACTTAGAGCTTCACAGCCGGAGAGTTGTCTTACAGAATGTGTTAACACAG